TGGCGTGCTGAATTCACAAAATACTGCCATAGGCTCACCTATCTCTTGTGTTTCCACTCTGCACATTATTAGGGTCAGCCCACGTTCTGCGTGTCACATGGTCCCCGTGTGCACGAGCATCTGTCACCTTGCCCTCCCCCGTTCCCAGGGCTGGGCTGGACATGAACCCATGTCCCTGGTACCACAGTGATGCTGCTGTGAGCCTAGGAGCTCCCGGGACGTCTACCCAGAAACCAGCCCCTGGGGCACAGAGGAAGGTGTGTGCAGGGCAGTGCCCTCACCAGCACAGCTGTGCCCAGCCTGCTGGGTGGTCCATATGTCACAGATGTGTCCCCACGTCCCCCGTTATTCAGCTGTCTGCTCTTTGTTAGTTTTGTTGTGTTAGTTCCCATCTGTCTAATCACTGGTGAGTCTGCGTGTCCATTCACACACACGTGGGCATTTCCGGGCGCTCCTCTGTGATGTAACTACTCGTGTTCTTTGCAAACTTTTCTGTCGGGTTCCTGCCTTCTTACTGATTTGTAGGCTTTCCTTTTTATATTCCACACCCGAGTCTCTTTGGCTTCAGACGTGTGGGTATCATCTCTCAGCCTGGCCTTTCCCTGTTAGCGTTGTCCCTGCTGTTGTCACTGGACCGCAGTATTGGATGCTGATGTAATCAAATGACTCCCTCATAGTTTGTGCTTTTGGGGTTCCTTTTCAGACGTCTTTCCCTACCCTCAGGCCACAGGTTGTTCTCTAACATTATTTTCTACAAACGTTAAGAGTTTCACTTTTACACTTGGGTCTTTAACCTGTCTAGACGCGACCTTCACATATGGCTCCAGGGAGGAACTGGCTGGTTGTTTCTCTACTGTTGGAAGCCAGTTTTCACAACGTGGTCTTGTCCAGATTCTGTCCCTTCTCTCACTGATTTATGTCCGAAATTCAACCTCCTTTGTAAACATAGGTCTGTCTGCAAGCTCTGCCTTCTTCTGTTTTCTGTGTGATCTTGTCCCAGTACCATACAGCATCACCACCACGGTTTTGTGGGTCTTCTGTGCCTTTGGTAACCGATCTAAAAAGGGTTACGAAAAGCATGTTTCCAGAGCCCTCAGCGACACCCCCACCTTCTCCTTCTACTTTAATTCTTAAAGGCCTATGTCGATATCAGCACCAGACTTCTTCATTTTTGTTTATCAAAAACCTGGAAGCAAACTTTTTTTAGGAACAGAAACCATTGAGTATGTCCCAAGCTTCAGGGACACAGGGACCCAACGAGATGCTGATTTAAGATTCAGACAGAGGCTGAGCCTCCTCGGGCTGTGGGTCTGTGTCCCACAGAGGCCCTGGTGTACCATCGCCAGGACTGGGGCGGCAGGGGGGGGACCCGGCACCAGAGGCTGCACAACTGCTAAGTCAGTCCCGCAAGACTGGCTTCCCTGGGGTGAAGAGTCTCGGGAATCAGCACATGGCATTTTAGGTGTTGGGAGAGTAACACCCTGAGTCAAGGGGAAAATGTTCTGTTACTATGTTCTCTTTGTGTAGTAAACACTTTAAAAAATTACCCACTGCTTTTTCACACCGTCCTCCCCTCAGTGAGCTCTGCTCCCTTCACCCCACTGTCCTCCACTCAGTGAGCTCTGGTCCTCTCACCCCAAGCTTGGCGCCTCTAGGACTCTCTGGTTTTGGGCAGAATTTTATTCTTCCTCATCCTGGGCTCAGGGCCCCCATATCTGCCCCCTCCAGCAACCTGCCTCTCTGGGGCTGACACACAGGCATGTACATCTCTCTAGAAGTGGTTCCACCACAGGAACCTGAAGCTAGGAAAAGTTATGGCGGAACATCATTGGCTAAGGGCACAGGAAGAGGAGAGACTGTCTGCAGGTCCGGTGAAGTTCGCGGAGTCTGGGGAAGGGCCCCCTCCAAGCATCTGTAGGGGGGGTCTGGCTCCCTGTTCTGGCCCCTGTGTGTCTCTGGAGCAGCCTGGTGTGTGTGTTGGGAGGGGTGCTGTCCTGGGGCTTGCTGGCTGTGAGACTTGGGTCACATCATGCCCTCTGACCCTCATGTGGTGTCGAAGCATTTAAGGTAAACCTCTCTGACTCTTGCATGGCATGGAGTGGGGGCAGGGAGTAGGGGACCTGGGGCAGGGGCCTGAGAAGGCTCTGGTGTGGATGTTCAGAAAAGAGAGGGGACAGTGAGTTGGCAGGAAGCTGTAGGAGTCAGAGGAACAGGAGACCTGGAATCAGGGAACAGGACGTTAGCCAAGAGCAGCCCTGCAGGTGACAGCTGAGAACACCTGCATCATGGTTAGGACTAATGTCACACAGAATTGTCCACAAATATCCCACCAGGGCTGGGAAGAGGCTGGAGGCCTCAGGGTCTCACTCCCCCTGCAGGTGACTGCCCGGCTCTCTGTCCTCCACTGGCCCGACCAGCAGAGGCACGGCCAGGCCAGCCTGTGGGGTGAGGGATGATAATTCATTGCACATCAGGTTCTCCTGGAAATTCAAAGTGGGACCATGATGAACATGTCACTAGGCACTGGAGGAGCCGTAGCGGAAGAAAGCAGAGCACCCAGCTACATATTGGAGCAAGTGTGGTGACACGTCCTGCTGAGTGGCCCCAGGGTCGCCCTGTCTCTGGGCCTTGTGTCCTTTTCTAGCAGTTCCAGACACACAAATGCAGTATTGGGTGGTGGCCCTGAGCGTGGACGTGGAGCCACATCACCTGAGCCCTAGTGTGCGCCATGGGATGTGCCCGCTTGCCCTTAGCCACCTGCCCGTCGGGGACGGTTGTCGGCCGACCCTGCAGGGTTGTGGTGAGAGTCAGCATATAAAATACTCAATGTGGTGACAGGCCAGAGGGAGGGCTGCATGTGTCTGCTATTATTATTATTATTATTAGCATTTTAAAATCTCTAGTCCTTGCTCTGAGGCCTGGTTTTGTGCTCCCAGCGCCCCAGCCGTACCTTCCCATGAGGCCTGGGGTGGAAAATCCCATTTTCCTTATTTGCATGTCTGTTTTCCTAGTATTCTGAACTAACTTGAGAGAGCCTCCATTCTTGGTCGTGGAGTGGAGTGTAAGTTGTGAAAACTCAGGTGCAGACCTGTGGGGTCCTGGAGGAGGTGATGCGGAGCATCAGCCCTTCGAGGGGGGACCCCGAGAGCAGATCTGTGACTAGCAGAGCACGGAGCTTCACCGAGTCACCGTGTTTCAGGATCTACCCTCTTCTCCTGCACGGACACCACCCTCCAGGTCAGGTAAGCATCACCAGCAGGGGTGAGGGGCAGAGCGGCGGCGTGAGCGTTTTCACGCACGAGTGGTTGTGTTGCTCAGCATGAGAAATAGGTCCTGTCGTCCTGAGTCCCAGTCGTCGTGCGGACTGTGGCTGCACCGACTTGCTCACCGGGACCCACCGCACCTGTCTCGGAACAGGGCGGTGCCGTGTAGGGGTTAAGACCCGTTAGTCAGACGTGCATTACGGCCCTGGGAGCACCACCTCTGCTGCACACACAGCCCAAACTCACCAGGCCTCGGCTTCCTTCCCTTGAAGACGGGACACGAAGGGGATGCGCCTCGTGGAGTGGCCAAGGTTAGGGGGTGTGATGCGTGTCAGGCCCCCCGCAGGTGGGGACCCCGCTAACACCAGTAAAAATAAACAGAAAAACACAATCCGCTTTCTGGTGGAACCCCGGGTGTTGGGGTTTTGGATGTGTATTATCATCATACAGAGACTTGTTATGTGTCCGTTGTTTTGAATATACAACATTTTATATGAAACGCTATGAATGTGTCCGGAGGGAGCCATCAGTCCCCCCCGCAGTTCCAGCTCCCGGTGCCCTCGCCTCTTCCACCTGCCGACCTGGGCGCCAGTGAGGAGGTGGCCCAACATTTAGTTGGTGTGGAAGCAGAGCGAACACAGATAACACTAAGAGGTTGTGGTGAGGGCTATGTCCAGGCAGAAAGGAAGACAGTGACTAAAATGCATGAAGACAATGCTTTTATTGCACACAGGAGTTAACATTCCACCCGGGGCGACTGAAGTCCTTCTCCACACTCTAGTGCTTGTGCCCGTCCCAGGTCCGCACCGGACGGCATCCCCCGTACCACGCGGCCCCACGCAGCCTGGTCTCTCCTGGCATCCTGCACGTGCCCTTCCCTGAGCTGGCTCCCTCCCTCCCCCTGATGCCTGGAGCTGCGTGAACTCCGGTGCAGTTTACCCAGCACCCCGCCCCCCCCCACCTGCTATTCTGCACCCCTGCATCTTGGCTCCACAGCTAAGCCTCGCCCCTGCCCACCCTTTCCAGGCCCCAGGTGGCGATCAGCAGAGTGGAGTAAGATTCTCTGCAGGGGAATGTAGGGTCCATGGGTTATGGCCTCGCCTCCCAGCAAGACCCACACCTTGGTCTCAGGCGAAAGAGCCCCCCGGCGGAGGGAGGCCTCAGTGGCGTCAGGGTCTCACAAGGACTGCGGCCCAATATGGCCCGGGGCCACCAGTCAGCCATCCCTCCTTCCCCCTCTGAACACACTCATCTCTCAGAGCCATCCTTTCCAGAAAGCCCTCCCGGGGGGGCCAGGCCCCATCCTCTGAGCTCCCCAACCGCCAGGGCGGCTCATCCCCAGCCTCCATCACTCCCATGTCCTCTGTCTGGTGTGTGAGTTCCTTCAGATCCTGAAGTTTTTCCTTTTCCTTTTCAGACCGCCAGGGGTTGCCATCCTGCCTGGTTCACGGTCAGCACACACTAAATGATTCTGGAGGGTGCGAGGGAATGAACCCGATGTTTTTGGGAGAAGATGTGACGTAGGCCTGTGCCCTGCCTGTGATCACACAGCTGGTTGATCTCAGGCTGGGGACTCGCCAGGGTCCGCCCCCCGCATGCGCTGGCCTCTGCTGGGGGTCCCAGAGAGAGGTGGTCAGCAGACTGCAGGGCACTGCCCTGGTCCTTGCAAAGTCCTCAGCCGACACATTTCTGTTCCCCCGGATGAGTCTGGACTGGGAGGAGGGCGGCCGTGCCCTCTCAGGAACTCAGGGAGAAGCTGGAGCCTCGGCCCCAGAGCCCGAAGAAGGGGAGGACCTTCTGGGTGAAGGAGGCAGTGAAGGTGTAGATGGGCTGCTGGCTGACGGCGTTGGCGAAGGTCACCCAGCCCACCTCGTAGTCCAGGGACACCCGCACCTGCCGGGGCTGCTCCTCCAGGGCCAGCCGCGTGGGGAAGGAGCCCAGAGCCGAGACGAAGCCCCAGGCCAGCCTCACGGCCCACACGCCCTCCTCGGGCCGCTGCCTCAGCTCCCCCTTCCGCCGCACATCCTCACGGGCCACACCCACCGTGCAGCTGCCCCCGTGGGCCAGGTCCAGCTTTACCAGCCACGTGTGCCGCCCCCCCGTGAAGCCACCGCGGGCCAGGACGCAGGTGGCCCGGTCGAAACGCTCCGGGTTGTCCGGCGAGCTCTGCCATTTGTAGGAGAACTGAGCCCGCTGGTGGTCCTCAGACAGCAGGAGCTTCGGGTGCGAGGTCTGGGGGTCCAGAGAGAGGCACGCTGCGGGGAAAGCCCGGAGGGACAGAGATGGCCACTCACTCAGCACCTCCAGAGAAGACCTGAAGGCCCTCCCTCCCACCTGCTGGAGTCACTGTGCACATCAGGCACAGCAGTGTGTGTGTCACCGGGTCACTTGTTAATTGTAGAACCAGATCAGAGTCCCCTCATCCGGGAAGCCTTCCCTGATAACACCTTGTCCCAGTCCCATATAACCTTTCTCCCCCCTCCTCACGTGTGGGCAGGGGACTCTGGCCATGCCCAGTGTAGAGCCCTGCAAAATTTTCTGTTTTGATTTCAGATTCCCCATGCCCTCCCGTTCTGACACCCGCTGCTCACCTGGCTCATAGTCCAACTCGAAGCAGAGTTTCTCTGTAGAGAGGACGTGAAACAAGATGAGATTCCCTTAGTCTCACAAAACCACAGAACATTTCACAAAGAGGAAACTGAGCCCCAGAGAGAGAAGGGACAAAGGTTTAGTGGTTCAAAACCTGGCCTCAGATCCCTGCAGCGCTTGCCAAAGCCTGACTGCGACTCGGACGGCCAAGGACATGGGCTCCTAGCAGGATCCCAGGGTGAGGTCGTGGGTCACTGCCCTTGTCCTGGGCGGACCTCACTGAGCTCAGGACATGTGAGGTGCTCCGGAAACGTCTACTCCAAGAGCAGATAAGGGGTTAATTTATTTCTTGTTTTCCTTGTAAATGATTTCTGGAATAGGCAACGGCCAGCCTTTGATTAGAGTAAAATGCTCTTCATTGCCAGCCCTCTGGGCGGACTTGTAGGGTGGACTGAGTGCAGGCCTCTTCCGGGCGGGCCATTCAGAGACCAGGGGCAGCGTTCCTGATGTCCTGTGGGTGGGGGCTGAGAGCCACAGGCCTGACCCGCTTCTGAGCATTCACACCTTTTCTCGTCACCACAACCTTTCTGGGGTCTCCCACCTGTGTGCCCGGCCGTGTGGGAGGAAGGGGAGGGAGACAGGTCAGCCACGCAGGGCAGAGAGAAATAGTGCTGCTGGTTATTAATGAGCAGTGTTCACCATCAAAACCTTATCATGCAGAGGAGCCTGCATGGCTCAGTCAGCTGAGCCTCTGACGCTCACGGTTTGTGAGATCGAGACCCACGTCGGGCTCGGAGCTGACATCTTGGAGCCCGCTTGGGATTCTCTCTCCCTCTCTCTCTGCCCCTTCCCCGCTTGCTCTCTCCCTGTCTCTCTCTCAAAATAAATACGCAAACTTTATATAAGAAAAACTTATGCAGGGCACCTGGGTGGCTCAGTCGGTTAAGTGTCCGACTTCGGCTCAGGTCATGACCTTGCAGCTGGTGACTTCAAGCCCCATGTCAGGCTCTGTGCTGGCAGCTGGGAGCCTGGAGCCTGCTTTGGATTCTGTGTCTCCCTTTCCCTCTGCCCCTCCCCCACTAGTGTTCTGTCTTTCTCTCTCTCAAAAATAAACATTAAGAAAAATTAAAAAAAAATTTATCATGCATTACAAATGCCTCTTTTTTAAAGTATTGAGAATGACAGGTTTTGTTAACCATTATTTTTTATAGTGGTTAATGCCAATAGATCAGATTTATTTAATTATTTTTAAAATCAGTTAAATCTTTTCAGAAATCTTCATCTTCATTATCTCTTCTCATTGTCACATTATCCTGACAAGCATATTTTATTTTTAATTTTTTAACGTTTATTTATTATCGAGAGACCGAGAGAGACAGAGCACGAGCAGGAGAGGGGCAGAGAGGGGGAGACACAGACTCTGAAGCAGGCTCCAGGCTCTGAGCTGTCAGCACAGAGCCCCATGCGGGGCTCGAACTCACGGACTGTGAGATCATGACCTGAGCCAAAGTCGGACGCTTAACTGACTGAGCCGCCCAGGTGCCGCTGACGAGCATATTTTATAAAGATGTGCGGATAAGACAGGAGAGGGGTATAAGCCTTGCCAGACGTCACTCAAGCATGGGGCAGGGCACGCAGAGGGCATTCCCAGCCCAGGCTTCACGGGTCCTCTTACCCAGAAACAGCTTCACCTTCCTCTGCAGTGGGACAGCCTGCTGCGGGAAGTCCCGAATCCTCTGGCCCAGCTCGGGGGACACAGCCTCTGGTCTCCGGCACTTCCTGGTCTCACATCTAGGGGCACACGAAGGTCGGGATTTGGGAATCGTCCCGCATGGCAATGTCCCCAGACTCAGCTGGCTGCCTGCCGACCAGGCGTGAAGGTGCAGTTCCCATGGGCAGAGCTTCTTCCTCTGGGATGGACCCCACTACCTACTCTCGGCAGCTGCGTGTGGACATGCATTTGAGGGCTTTCGCCCCTGACATGAGGGTGCCGTGTGCAGACATGGGGTGAAGCGTGCTTGTGCGCAAGCGGGAGTGGGGAGGGCAGCCCACGACTCACCTGAGCAGAGTACTTCTGATGTCCTGCGAGAAAGAGGGGAGAGCAGATCAGTCCCTACTTCCTTATACCCAGAAAAGACAAATACCGTGTTCCCCGGTAGGCAAAGGGCCCCCGATCCCAGAGTCACAGAGCTTTAGGGTTTACGAGGCATCAGGATCCCAGACACCAAGCCCTGTATCTTATGGATCCATACAGTTAGGCGACCTGGCTGCCGGCTGGAGGCCCAGGCCCCCTGCTTTCTCAGCACCCCCAGCAGGGAGCTGCGTGTCTTCCCTCCTGTGTGCAGAAGTGAAATGCACCGGGAAGAACTTCCTGACCGGTGGGGGTGACATGGCACAGGATGCCCTGGAAAGAGCTCCTGGTGCCTGCAAAGCACTCGATGCTTAGTGCCGCGTTCAGCCGCACTTTCCTGTTGGACCCTCACAAACCACCCGAGAGGTCGGCATGAACAGAGCTCTCCCTGCCGATGGGCAGTGGGACGAACAGTCAAAGGCCTGTGAGGGAGGGGGTGCAGGTGCAGGGGTTCAGAGGCGAGCACGTGGGACCAGGCCTCACCGTCAGGAGCCCTCGCGCTGGCCTCTCATTCTTCTCCTCCAGTTCTGAGATCAGGCTGCCAAAGCGGCAGATCTCCTCACTGACCAGCACGTCGAACTCCTCCCGTTGCCTCAAGATGTCCGCATCCAGCGCCTCCAGCTGGGCCAGGAGGACACTTTGCTGTTCCTCCAGGAACTGGCTCAGATACGCAAACTCGAAAATCACTTTCTGCCTCTTGGTGGCCACCTGCGACTGAAGGGGCAGGAGGAGAGGCCAGGGGGGTCATTTCTCTTCCTTCTTTCCCTTCCTCAGCTTTCTTTTCCTTCCTTGGTTCACTGCCTTCTCCCTCCGGCCCAGGTTCATGCCCTCTGGGGTTTGGTGGAAACTCAGAGCCCCAACCCCCAGGTCCCTAGACAGTACGGCATCCCTCCCGTGGCTGCACTGATCCCCCAGCACGGCTGTCGCCCCGTCCGCCGGGGCTTCTACGCACACACGTGGCTGAGGGGAGGTGATGAGGAGGTGATGGGGACACCCAATCCCCTGCCCTTCACAACGCGCACTCTATGCACGGCACTGAGCTCATTATACACACAATCTCATTCGGTTCTATGGCAATTCCATGAGGTCATGACGACTTTAATCTCACAGGAAGATAAATTCGGGACAGAGATTTGCATGAGGGAGTCAGGGTTCACACGCAGAGTGACTTGGAAGCCCTCCATGCCAGGCCACCTGGGTCCGGATGGAGAAAAGGGGTCTGGGAAGGGACACGGACCTACCAGCAGGACTTGGGTCCTCTGGTTTTCTCTTGCCTGGATTCTTTGAATCTCTTCTCTCTCTTTTCTTAGACCCTCAAGACACTTCTGTATCTGCTCCTGGAGAGAAAGAGCATAAACCATTTAAGACGGAAACATCGACTTGTAAAGAGGGGTCATCCCATCCAACCCCCCGCCTCCAGGGGTTGGTGGCCTGAGGGGTCTTTTTCTTCTTGCTTCGCTTTCCAAGAATTGTGATCGAAGCTGTCCTCTTCACCTGTGCCAGCACCCGCTGTGCCTTGGTTTCCCCCCCTGAGCCTTCCTGTCTTCAGGATAAGCACCCCGACTTCTTTCGTCTTTGGTAAGCTGTCTGTGGGACTGTCCTGAGCTCGACAAGCCCTGCTTTGAAAGTATTCCCACTTTCTCCCTGATCTTGAGGAAATGAATTCAAACAAGCTTTTCTTGTGAATACAATCAATTTCCTGCGTGTGATTCCGGAAGGGAGAAGAAACTCGGATGATGTGAGAATAGTCCGTAATTGTTTTAAACATTGCTTGCTCTAGAACAGAGTTGGGTAGAGGTACACACACGTAGGTGTACGTTCGGAAGTACAGTTAGGACCCTCGCCGTCCAATGCGTGCAGACACCCACATTTGCTGAAACACAGTGTGTGAGTGACTCAAAGGTGCTCAGATTTAATGAAAGATAAAGCTGCACCCCACATACGTGTACCCAACCTGCGTGCAAACATGCATTTACTCACAGACATGACCACTCCCACAGTACACTTACACACTCAGTCAGCCGCCCCCCCCCCTTCCCACGCGCACTGGTGAACACGCAAACACTCCGGCCTGTTCCGTACTGTTTGGGCCTCATTCCCTCACATACAAACCCTGTGTCCTGAGGCCCTGTGTGCGGACACACACTCTCACGTCATGGCCACTCCGTCGCTCAGTGCACGTTCACCGAGCTACATGTCGGCCGTGAGTGAACAGCTCAGAACGTGCGGACGCACAAACACCGACCCTGCACCCAGAGCTGCCTGCATGCTGACAGAGTGGGGGAGACAGACTCCTACCCGGTAGGGCCTGGCTGCGTCCTCCAGGAAGCGCACGGTGTGGGCCTGGTGCGCCCAGGCCTCGCGGCACAGCACGCACAGCTGCGTCTCATCGTCCTCGCAGAAGAAGTAGATCTTCTCCCCGTGCTCCTTGCACACGTCCTCCTCGTCCAGGCCCGGCGTGGGCACCAGCCTGAGGCGCTCGATGTTGTCCACCACACTGGCCAGCTGCCAGTTGGGCCGCAAGCCCGCCGGGTGGAAGGGCTGCTTGCAGAGCGGGCAGGCGAGGGACTCCTCTGGCTCCGGGCCCGGGACCTCACAGTAGCGGGTCAGGCAGCTGCGGCAGAAGTTGTGGCCGCAGTCGATGGTGACCGGCTCCCTGAGGGTGCCTTGGCAGATGGGGCAGCTGACCTCATCCACCAGACTGCTCACAGAGGCGGCCGAGGCCATGGTGCTGCTGTGCCCACTGGCTCCTCAAGGTCGCCCTCTCTGCTTGGCTGGGGAAGCGGTCAGGACACACGGGCACATGTCACACACGCACGGGCACCCTCATGGTCACCTGCACACACACGTGCCCAGAGGCAAGGCATCCGCCTACACGCCCGGGGTCTTCTGTCCCTGTCCCAAAGCCACAGATGCGACGGTCCAAGACAGACGGACAAGCAGCAGAGGAGAGGGGGGACAAAGAGCCCGCAGCTGCAGAGGTGACCTCGGTTACTCTCTGGGCTGGTGTCCGCAGCCTGGGGCTCAGCGTTCCCTCCTGTTCATCCACACGCACGTCAGTGCTGCTATCTCGGCCGCCCACACTTGACAGATAGGTCCCTCCTTTGGGGGTGGGAGGGAGACTGAGTCAGAGAGCAGAGATGCCAGCCCAGCCCCTGCAACGTGGCCAGCTGTGCCCAGGGAGATTACAGGTATCAGCGGGCCCAGGGCAAGCAGTGGGCAGGCAGGGGGTGTCGGGACCCAGATAAGGCAGTGCTCAGGGCAACACAGCCCAGACGGCTTCCCCAGTGATGCCCCCAGCGGCCTGCCACAGGCTTCTAAGTAGGCTGCACCAAACCCCCCGTGGGGGAGACAGAGAAAAAGAGCAGCGGCCAGCACTCATTTATGGTGACTGCACACCCTACACTCCTACCCCCCAGCCCAATGACACCCATGCTGTCAGTGTGGAGCTTGGGCAAAGCTGGGTTATTCTTGCCCAAGGCAGCAGGAGGAAGGTGGACGGCCATAATATGCACTCAGAGCTGTGTGTCCCACATAGAAATACAGCGTGAGCCACAGATGCAAGCAAACTTCCTTAGTAGCCATATTCTAAAAAGTGAAATTAATTTTAATGTTTTGTTAACCCCAAATACTATCATTTCAACACGTGATTGGTCTAAAGATAAGAAATGAGAGATTTTGTGCTCTTTCTAACTGGTGCTAAGTCTTTGAAATCGGGGTGTATTTTACACTGTGGCACATCTCAGCTGGGACTGGCCACACTTCCAGGCCCGGCCATCACAGGGGACTGAGGGCTGCACCCTCCGGAGGGGCGGGCCGGTGGGAAGGGGTGAACAGTCCGTGTGACAATGGGAGTTTTCTTTGGTTTTATCCAAGGACGCAGGGGATCGGATGAAGAACCATGGTTGTTTGACCGTCACCTGGGCCTGGGGCTCAGGAGGAGCACCTGTCTGGAAGGCCAGGAGAGGAGGCTGGGAGAGAAGGCCAGGAAAAGAGTCTGGGAGAGGAGGCTGGCACTGGAGGCCAGGAGAGGAGGCCTGGAGAGGAGGCTGGGAGAGGAGGCTGGGACTGGAGGCCGGGAGAGGAGGCTGGGACTGGAGGCTGGGAGAGGAGGCTAGGAGAGGAGGCTGGGAGAGGAGG